CCAGGCAGCCCGGACTCCGCTTATGCTGCTCGGAAAAAGCTCGGGAAAAGCTTGGAAAAGGCGTTGACGCTTGTTTCGTGCAGCTGCTTTGGCTCGTGGTCGCAGCAGAGCGTGGGGTTCCTGCACTCAAGGAGCTGCCGGGACCGGTACCCGGGCGCCTTCCTCGCTGCCCCTCTTTAGAGCCCTGTTAGCTCTGTAGCTGCTGCTGGTGTCTGAAGGAGTAAAGTGACACGAGGAGTGCGGTGACTGTGAACACTTCATAGCAAGCGCTCTTTTGCTAAACACTGAAGTTAAGAAAAAAAAATCTCTTACATCTTAGTGTTTTATGACCCACCGTGAGGCTGCAAACTGTATTTATGTATTTTGTGATGATGTCAAATTAAGATTTTTTTTTCATTTACTCAATAATGAATTACTCATCATATGAATATGAACTTTCCTTTGCATTTCATTTGAGGGAAAATTGAGCTAGGTTGTATCCACCTTCTCAATAGGAGCGTTTTCAGACTTCAAGCTAATTCTTTTGCATGTGTATTGCCTTTCTGCTCATCCCTGCCACTTTTTTTCCTCTGCTAACTATCACTTAAAAGGGTCCTTGCAAGTTAAGTTTCTTTTCTTTTTCTCCTGCTTATCTATTATAAATATCAATCTCATACCAACAATCATTTGTTGCTGTGTTCATTTTTCGCATTGTATTGCAGAATGGGATGGCTTTAAGTAAAAATTCCTTTTGCATGTAGCAAGTGGCTGGGTAAGTAGAGGCTTTTGGGAAAGGCTCCGGCTGGGAAGGAGAGCGGTGGCGAGGGCGGCCTTGGGCATTTCCCGTTTACGGGCTCTTGCTCCAGGTGGTTCTGCAGCCCTGTGCAATGCTGCAGTGCTCAGGTTATGAGGGAAGGATGGGATCGGGGCTTTGGGGAAATGACTGAGATTTATTTGTTGCTTTTTCAGTTCACTTACCTTTTAGGCAACAAAGGATGTTGGAAAGGCTTAAGTTTGATACCTAAGCAGATTTTCATAAAACTGAATTTCAGCACTTGCTCAGCTTTTTAGTCGATGTATTTTTACCCAACAGTAAAAGAAATCAAAAAGAGCAAACCATAAAAAGGAGCATTTTATTTTACACCGTGTCCTTTTAAATTACTTCCGTATTTGAGGGCCATTGATTAAACCAGGGTGATGTGATTGCCTTTGGCTCAGCGCTCACAACAAACATTGTGCAACTGCGCCCTTCCTCGGCTCTGCCCAGAGCTCGGGGGGTTTCCGGGCTCTCCTTATCCCTCTCTGAGTTCTCTGTGGTGCATTCATTTTAATTTGGTAGGTGAAACCTGCTGTACAAAGCACCGATTTGGTAAATCCATGTCCCAGTAGACATTTTGGGGTAAAAAGAAGGAACTCTCAGCCTATGTTGACGCAGCAGCACTGCTGGTTTCTCGTTTTGCTGCCCTGCTGGAGCGGTGCAGTCTGCACCATCAAGAGTCATCGTGGGCTCCTGCATGTCCGGAGCTGTAATCTGTGAACCTCACTTCCTAATTAACCAGGAGGGCAGCTGAAACAAATTAAGGTAAATGAGTTGGGTGTGGTGCTTGTGTCTGAGCTACCAAGGGAGGGATGTTGGAAATCTGCCTTCCGATACCCTCTGAGGGCCCTGCGATACCCTCGTGGCTTCCGCAGGGTCTTTCTGAAACCTCCCTGCAGAGCAGCAGGGAGCAGTGCTTCTAAT